CGAATTAACATGAACATGAATTTATCAAACCTAACCTATGTTAGTTAAAACTAAAAATTCAAATCGGATACAATGGAAAATTTAATAAATTCGTAAGGAAAGTATTGGGAAAAATATGATTTAAGGAAAATTTAGCTTGTTAGGCAACTTAGCCTATTAGGTACAACATATACATAAACTACATACACATACATACTGTACTGTATATATAACTGCATATGAATTTGATTTAACATTACTGCAGAGTGACATTCAGTATTGCTGGCACATAAGCCACATTTCAAAGCACAAGATTTATTTTCCAACTAAAGTACATCAAGTATCATGGATTATAACTCGGGGCCCCTGTTTAATGTATGGTACATACAATGGCTTGCTTTTCTGCTTTAATTCGTGATCTGACAATCACAATTTTTTCAGTTAAGACTACTATTAATAATTTATAATAATTTTTTTAACAGGTAACAAAAATAAATTTGTAAATATATCCCACATGTCTGGTTATAATTATGTATTCACAATTATGTGGGAACCTGAAATCAAATATAATTGTCCAATTAATCTTAAGTAGTTCATCTTTTATAGACTTACATGGACAACATAAATTGTCATAGTTGATTACAAAATTTACTGTAAGTTAAGGATGCATTGATATTTAAAATGCATGTGTTTGTACATGTATAATATTTTAGTGTGCTGACAATGTTTCAATTGCAAAGGGCATTTGATTATAGGTGTACAATTTATGTTCAATAGCCTACTGTATCTACTTCTCGGTATACAATTTTTTTTTAACTGAAGTTAATTTTACAACTACCGTAATTAGTTTGTTAATAAAGTTTCCTCTTCAACATCTGGAGTTTACAAACACTGAAAACATACGTGAAGTTTCTTTACAATTTTACTGGTGACCAATTTGCAAATAGTACAGTAATGCATTTTGTGTGCAAACCCTGACTAATTTTGTTCACTAAAATGGTTTTACAGTTCATTTCATTCACTTTCACACAATAAAATCAGATGTGTAAGCATAGTTTGGAATGTGTTTCATACACAGTGCCTTTAAACTATAATACTGCATTATCAATCACTTTATATTATATATACTATGTATAATTTGCCTATTAGGAATATTGATGTAGACTGCATGAAGCATGGGTCAATGTCATTATTGTTTATTATATACAGTACATCAAATTAAATGTTAAGTACATATCAAGTTATTGCCTGCATAAAATGTGCAGTTTATAACAATGTGTTCAAAAATGGAGAAACATGTCATTGTGCATTTACTGGCAGAAGATTATTTATCTGTGGGTATGTGCTCGTGTAGGTTTTAGTCTTGAAAATTGTTTCTATTTCATTATTTTCACATCATGAATTTCGTGAAAGTCATTTGGTGAAGTACTGTGTTGGATTTAGATTCACTTCATTTTCTTGTAACCCCCATCGCCCCTCTCCCAATTTATATTTGTCTGTGATGGCTGCTTCTGCAGGAATGACTAGGTATGTTGGTGTCTGCATGATTGGTTTTAAAACCATTTCATAATAGTTTTTCTTGTTATAATTTAAGAATGCACAATAACCCTAGTTATATCACATTCCCAATGTCCATTTTTTGTGGGCTAACAAATTTCAGAAACATTTCCCCAAGTACAGGCATTTCAATTGTCTGAGATATGCAAGTGATAAAAAGTAGGATAAGATGAAGGCCATTTACATTAACTTGTCTATTGTGCAATCGTAGTGTAATTTTGAAGTGAATACATAAGGTTTAAATTAAGTTAGATACTATTGGAATCCATGGAACATGTTTATATTTTGTACTTGACTGACATGTATATAGCAGTGTACAAGTAGGAAGTGTACCACTGTTGTCCACAGGAGCAGTGTACATAATCATTGTATATACCATTTGTGCATATGAACAAGAAAATTAATAAAAATAAATGGAAACCATATTTTGCATTTATTGTTGAATATAGTAATTAGGCATCCCATTTCAACATCTGAAATCTTTGGTGTTCCTTAACTCTCTTGAGCCATGTATATGTTTCTACTATACTGTACATGAAACTGGACATGCAGTAAACTTCAGTATTTGTGACTAACTTTATAAGTATGTAATTATCAAAAGAAGGCACCAAGCCAGGAAGACTGTGTAGCTAGCATCAGTGTCGCCGGATATTCAAAAGGTGCTAAATGTCACTTAGGATGTCAATATGAGAACAAAAGCACACAAGATGAGCGATATTATATTCACCAAGGATTCTATCTAGGGACAGTATGAGAGCAAGACATGCAATGATCTTGAAAATTTGGACAGTCTATAAGGAGGTGCACGACTAAGTACAACAATACAGTTTGGACAATAAGCAGTGCACCATTCCATTAAATGCCTGCGAGTTGGAGAGTGCGAGCCAATAAGGAATCTAGCCAAAGCTGTTTCCCACTGTCCTATTACGGTGGTAGGAGGAGCCTTTACCATGTGGGGTCCAGATCTTGTAACACTTTGTAAGTGGGACCCCTTACTGAGGGCAAGGATGGAATGGCAGGAGATGTAGCAATCACAAACCAAGAGGGCATCTTACAAATGAGAAATCCATACAGAAAATGGAAGGTGGTGAAAAAGAACAAAGGCCCACATGAATGGGCCCTTTGACTGCTGAGACGGCAGTCAAAGTATGGCATAAGCAAGTGTTGAGGATGTTGCTGGGACCGCACAAGATAGTGAAGGTAGTAATGATCAGGACGCTCCTATATACAGGACACCTGTTTCCACATTTAAACTTAGGGTAGAGGGGATGGGGGGGAATGAAAGGCAGTAGAGATGAAGCATAATTCTGTATGGTGCAAAGTATCAAGATGATGAAGGGTCAAAGGAGAGGCAGAGGGACAGGAGGGACAGTCATAATCAAGTTTAAGACAGCACAAGAGAGGAGTGAAAACAGAAGACTGCATTTATCGGCTCCCCAGGAAGTATGGGACAAGTCTTTTTGTAAGGTAAAGGTCTTAGAGCATTCAACCCAGTATTCAGTAGCGTGTAGTGTGATATATAATAAAATGTGCGAACCATCGCTATACTCAAAATTATGGTGTGCATATTAGAAATTCAATTATTATGTTCATAAAACAATAAACAAATAGTATTGCTATTATTATACTATATACACAGGTTATATACAAGTATCTGCAAGTTTTGTTCACAATAATGAACCACTAAGTTGGTATGGCGAGTCAAAAAGCAACGAGGAGTGGCCGCCACACCAGCCAGCCACTCACAGTCACTCCCTCCCTCAACAAAACTTCACTCGCCAACATTCTCCTCCCACTATACTGTTTTTGCTTTTATTCACTATATACAGACATTATATATAAGTATCTACATGTTTTGTTCACCATAACTGTTCAACTAAGCTGGTATGGCGAGTTCAGGCAATAAGAGGGTGCCATACACACGGTCAGATAACGGCTACCTCCCTTACTGATTCAAGGCCAGACGCACTAACATTTTCTTCCCCCAACAATACTGTTTGTGGTGTTATTACACTTTATACAGACATTATATATATAAGTATCTACATGTTTTATTTACCATAACTGTACAACTAAGCTGTTATAGTGCCCAAAGAGCATAGTGACCACCCTCTACACACCATGATATGTCATGCAGACAATGCCATCTCCGTCACCCAAATGGCTCCTCCCAACATGCTCCTTTTGCTGTTATTACACTCTATAAACATGTTATGTATACAAGTATCTACATTTGTGTTCATCACAGAGAACCACTGAGCTAGAATGGTGAATGCAGACAATAACAGGTGACCACACAGTCAGCAGACGAAGCTATCTTCCCAAGCATTACTCCTCCTACCATGCAACACAGCACTAATTATCACAACAATCCTGCTATTATCAGAATCCTGGGTATTTTTATCACAGTCAGGGGTCTTCTGCAATATTATCGCTAAAAAATACCAGTTACATATATTTTTTTACATTTTTAGACGATGCTGTGGTTACAAGCTGAACAGCAGTGCTGTTAGCTCATGCTGCGTGCTCCAGCCTTGGTTGTTCAGTCAGTACCAAGGCTCTCACACCTGGGAATGTTGCCCACGATTTTTTGTTTTTAAATGGCGTCTGTTTACAAGAGCCCTGAGAAAGCTGATGTGAACCCTGTGTAGCCGCGGGACTTTAAAATCTTACGTGGTATGCCAACACATCAATACCTGTGGTGTGCAATTCCGTGACAGTTACTCACCACAACTATTGATGTGTTGTGCAGTTTAAAGATTAAAGCACAAAGTTACACCATTTCTAATATTTTTCCACAAATCAATGTTTCTTTCATTTTTCACATTTTCTCAAATTGTACATTTTTAAGTCTTGCTTTTTTTATTTTAAAGTCCACCCCACTGTCCAAAACATGCTAAATTAATTAACGGTAGAAGAAATACATAAAGGAAACTGCCAAGGCCTAGTGCCCTAAGTGAGGAAGCTCCTATTTGTATGAAATCAAACTCATTCCCATACATTTCTAATCTTAGTTTTCAATAATCCAGTGATTTCACCACTTTTGTTATCTGGTAATTTGGTTTATAAATTGGCAACTTATTTCCAAACCAGTATTTATCCAGGTTTTTCCAAATCTAAACATACCTAATTTGATTACATTGTTTTGTGTTTATAAATTTAACATATTAGTAATATCCTTAAATTTATATGAGTTAACCTTGGTAAAACCAAAACGTGAATCCTTTATTAATCTAGGTTTTTAAAGATTTAAGTGACTGGCTTTTATGATAATTGGCCAAACTTCAAAACTTTTTTTTCATTCTTTTAGATGGGGGTACACCATTTAATGGAAGAGCAACAACCATAGCTCTTCCTCTCTTTCTTGTCAATTTTCTTTATACTATGAAATGGTAAATAATTCTATTAACAGAAAACTAACATTAGTGACCAGGTACAAAGAAAACTAACTACACGAAGTATACTGCCCTTTTTCTTTTTATTTATTAAGCGTCATGATTGGAAATACAAATTTAATGTGAAACATGAAGCAATAAAGAATTTAAAAACTACACACTTCCTTAAACTAAAGAAAATGCACTTAAATCAATCCATCTAGCTGTTGATCATCTTATTCATAACCACTGAAAATGGAAAAAAAATAAAATTAAAAATGGCTAAAATTCGAATGAGTACTAATGTATCGTCTTATCAAGAAGTTTAAATAACCTTAATATTAAAACACCAATTGACTGTACCTCAGTTAATAACCGAGGAAATCAACTACTGTACTGTTGTATTCAAATTGCTAGCATAAGGAGTTGTGAATGTTGTCCTTACTCTCAGTTAGGACTTATTGAGAGATTCTTACTTAACTTTCCAATAAGTTATGGAAAGTATGTTTAACCCATGCAATGTGCACCTGTTTCATATGACAAGTCCATGGTGTGCACAAAAACCCTGCATTGAATGTAATGGAAATGCCTCTTTCTGGAAGAGCCCCAGTGGCTCCCTGTAGCTATCTCGCTGAGATTGCTCCAATCTACCAGCCACAGTTGTCAGAGTTTATTTGGCCTACCAGGGAAAAGAACCAAAACCTGGCCCCCTTCATGTAAGGTGCAGGGAGCAAATGACATTCTGCCATTTCAGTGATATTCAAAGTTAAAACACTAAGTGACAGATCAGATGCAAGAGAAATCCTTTATCAAACCATGTGTGTGAAGGCTTTTGTAACTGAATTTATTATTACAGCTTCAAGTAATTGTCCCACCATTGACGGCAAACTAACTGAACAGTACTAGTTTGTATACGAGATGTTATACAAGTAGTTTTTTTTAGGGCTTTGAACAATTTTACTTTTACACCTATATAATTAATTTCACTATGGGTAAATTTGCACTCCACAATGTTTTCAGAAACATCAATCATGCAGACTGAGGGTTAACTACAGTACATACAAAACCTAATAATTTAAAAACCATACCTGATATAATTAGCAACTTCCCAATTGGTGTCCTTCTTCAGGTTGAGGTCATCATGGATGACTACACCTTCTGGTGTGATGTCAGCTAGTTGATACTTGAAGTGAGCACGGCAGTCACGATAGTAAAGAACTTTCAGACACTCTGTCAGCAACTGAGCGGTGAAAAGTTTTGTAAATTAAACAATCAAAATGTCATGGTTATACTGAATTTCATTTTGTTAAATAAAACTTACAATATTTGACATATCTGAGAAAGAGCAAAATCCAGGCAGGTATCTCGGGGTAGAAACAGAATGGATAATGGAGTGCACTGATTAGAGGGAGCATAAGTAGTACAGTGTTTATAATAAATAATGGAAATGTAATAAACACCAGTAAAATTAAGAAGTATGTACACTGGGGATATACAGTATTCCTGGAAACTGGAATGCTTACCTATCAGTGATTATGGGGAGCGAGATCTAGCGGTTTATGCCCTGCCTTCTAGTCGTTCATAACTGACGTACTAATTACCTCTCAACATTAATGTTTTCATCATATTGCTTTTTAAAGTTATGGATGAAATTGGCTTCAATCTCTTCCTTCAAAGCACTCCACTTGCTGACCACCTATTCAAGAAATGAAGCGTCCTTACAATCTTCTCATAGCCGAGACCTTTCAATTCTGGTATTAATCTAGTTGCAAACCTCTGAACTTTGTTTAGATTTTTAAATGATGTTCTTATGTTTATTAACCACCCATATGCTGCTTATGTTATGTAGTTCACATGAGCTTCTGGTGCTAATGTTGGGATTATACATACTCCCACGTGCTTTTCTTTTATTGTACTATGTAACTGTCTTTCCCCCTTATAGTACAGTATAGTTAAATACAGGTCTTCTAACTCCCTTACTCATTTTCAATACTTAATACTTATTTGGATTTAATTCTAGCAGCCATTTATCTGCATATTCCTGAAATTTGTCAACCTCTTTTTTGCAGCACCCTACAGTCCCCTTCAATTCTTACTCTCATCATCATCATCTGCAAATAATGATGTTTATGAGCTCACTCCCTCTGTGAGGTCATTTACATAATTAAAAAAAATGCAACAGTCCTAGGCCAAGGTTAACTCCACTACATCAATGTAGAGCCAATATATCCATATTAGCATCACTGATATAAAACCCAAAAATTAATAGTTTAAATCAACATAAGATAACTGCATTTCTCCATGAATCAACATACGATGATAACTGCACTTTGAAGGTTAAAGAAGCTCTTTATCTTCTCCATGAGGAGCTGGCGGAGCCATATGGCACCGAATTAATGCATTTGCCTATGTCCTTCAAAAAATTGCTCTTTAAATATGTCAACTTTGTCGCAATCAATAATGGTAGACATTTTTTTCTTACTGCATTTTTAAGGATTGTTCTGATGGTTGATGTCACTGAATCTAAAGAATAATTACTCAGATGGGTACTCAGTGGGTATCCAACTGACTCAACCCATTGTAATACTCATTTCAACATGTGATTTGATATTGTTTGTTTTACAACAGAACCAGCCATTATAAGCCAAATCTTTCCCAGAATGCAAAACAAATGCCAAAATAGGCAAAATGTGAGTAAATAACATTGAATGAACACACTAAAGCACTCATTAGCAGAGAAGTGCAAACGACTGGGCACAGTGGAGTGAAACAAAAATTAGCCAATGGACCCCCATTGCAAGAGTAAAGTCCCAAGGAACATCCAGTCAACTGAATCTGGCTCTCCAGAGCTAGATATGGAGTGCATGTTTGACAAGCAACAAGTGTTGCTAGTTCCTGTGACTGTTGGTAGCAAGTTATTGTCGTGGTGTAGATACCAGAGGGATAATTTGGCTACTCTGGTAATATTAATTATTGACGAGGTTTTCGAGTGATATGGTTTTGTTCGTTTTATGGTGAGCAGATATCTTGGTGGCAGATTGAGTTAATGCTTCCATATTCCATTCCTAACTATTTGGGAAGATCATCAAGACCTGGACATGTGAGCAACGAGTCCTGTGTGAACTCGGTTTGGGAATTACAAATGGGACCTTCAGAAAAAATAATAAAAAAAAAATGAAGATGTAAATTATGTAGCACCATTAAAATGTTTGTTATTGGTATCTAAACTCATGGATTAAATTGTGAGATAATATAAGAGAATGGGGTACAATTAACAAATGTTTTCCAGTGGAACATTGTAACTTGCCAAGCAATTTATAAAAACATTTAAATGACAATACAAGAAATTGGAGACTACAGCACAAAAATTAAATATTAAATTATCATACCTTGCGGGCCTCATCCCGCGGCAAGCTTTGCTTTTTCTCCCTAGCTTCTCGAATCATAGGAACTGCAAGATGTAGACCAAATCCAGTAGCAACTTCTTTAGCCTCAAAGGCTGTGCCAATCTTATCAACATAACCCAAAAACCTGCAAAATTACAACCCTACAAAATCAACATTTTATAATTATGTTTATAATTATAATTTAATTTCTTACACTTGTAATATTATTGGGCAAAAATACTTAATTTTATTTTTGATTGGCAATACATAAGATAACCAAAAACAGAAGAAAATCAGAGGCCTGTGGCATATATGATTCTGCATATTTAAATGCAAATGCTGTAACATGTTAAAACATATGCAATGCATTCACATCATTTGTATGAAAATCAGGCAACAACAACTAACAAACATATGATAACTGCATTACCCTTGGGATCTGCACGCGACAATACATCCACTTTAAGAGTTCAACCTAATTAATTATTCTGTACTGTATTGTCCTAGACCTAGGAAGAGTAAGTTTAGTTGTTGCCTTCTTTCTCAGACCCCCCTAGAAAGAAGGGGGGTCATCTTCTTTTGTAACGGGTGCCAACCTTTAACCTCACTACTGATTAAAAGTTGGTCGTTATTGAAGAAAAGTTAAAGAAAATATATACATGAACCAGTTCTGCTGAGTAATCTACAGTACAATCCCTCAAGATCAAAACGTTTGACCATTCAGATATCACGAACAAGAGATACTGTCTCCTCCAGATTAAACTGCAACTCTGAATATTCACCGCCACCACCTGCTAAGCCTGAGTAAATCTCTCAATTGATGAAAAGCAGGATACCATCAATTAAGCATCCCGTGAAATTATATCTCCAATGAAATGGAAAGGAGGGCTAAGCTTTACGTTAATGTGGAATTACGAGAAAAGGGATTATCTTTTTTAATTAAGAAAATACTTGTTGGTTTGCGTGAGGAGACTAGGCGTAGACATTTGACTTGCATTCAAAAATAATGTAAAAATAAAACAGAAAGGAGAATACCACTAAACAAGAGAAATTCTATAATTATTTAATACCACAGCCTGGCCTGATGTTCGCCGGCTTTGGGAGAGGTCTTGTCTTCCTGGATGTTCAGACTACACTATTTTTCCTTCTCTCTCAAGCCGAGAGAGCTCCCAGTATTCCTCCGCCTAGTTATCAATTACAAATCAGGGTGAATTGAACAAACTAATCCTAATTACTGGCAAACCCCAGATGGTTGAATTATCAATTAACTGGTGGTAATTAAATTAGTCAACTTGGCAAAAGCTATATCAATTACAATATTCTCTAGTGGACTTTAATTTGTACAATATGAATTAGTAAATATGGAAGATTGTGGTCACATCGATTGTGGTGCTACTGCATCCTGGGTATACTCTTTTCAACTTTGTCACCTCAATTCTCCTAAGACATTAAAATCTTATTTTTCCTCTATCGTCATCCTCTCATTTGTTTTCTTATGTTGAACTTTACCACTGACCTTCATGGGACCCATGGCATGATATATAATACAGTAATTACTTATATGTTCAGAAACCAAAAAATCACAAAAAACAATTTATATCTTCACAAAGAATTCAAGTGAGAATTTCTTTACTAGGCAGGAGACACTGGTAAACTGAAGTGCGCCTTGCCTATGCCACCAGGAACCACGTGCTCGGTCGACCTATATGTGTATCAACAAACTCTCCAAGCGAGGCAAAGCTTGTATACTGAATCGAATTTTACGAAGAAATTGAGCTCGTAAACAAAAAATTTGTAATAAGGGGCTCTCATCAACCAAGGTTCCACTGTAATTCAAAAAGGGAAGGAGGGGACAAAAACCCCCTCCCTGCTGCAACAACAGAAGGCAAAAGGACCCAAGCAAAGGAGACCAAGTGCTGCAAGGGGACTTTCTCCAACAAAGACCCAGGGGCAGAGCCTTCTTCCACCCCCACCACCCCCAAAGAACCTTCTTCCACCCCCACCACCCCCAAAGAAAAAGTGGTGTCCAGGAAAAGATCCCAAGAAGGGAGTCTGCTGGATTCACGCAAAAGTAATGACGGTAAAATCGGGCTCAACCATCTCTTCGCCCAAATCGGAAAGAGCTGCCCCCAAAGCCACCCGAGCTAAACCCTGAAATCCTCAGACATTCAAGAGTCAAAAGCAGGGGCATAGAAGGAACCAAGGTCGAGGCGACCAATGCCCCTAAAACCCAACCGGGACAACTCCGGGGCCTCCAACCTGGCTTGATGCAGTAAGGAGAATCGAGCATGCAACACAGCCACTGCTTGATCCCCGAGATCAACAGATAAGGAATGAGGAAAGTGAAGTACAAGCAGGGAACAAGGCCTGCAAAACTCAAGGTCGGTGGTGTCCCCGACCCAACAGGCAGGATGGTGGAGGCAGTACAGACGATCGTTTTCCTGAGGAAAGGGCAATGAACAATCTTCGACTTCGCACAAGGTGAGAGCAGGCTCGGAAGTAGCCATTGTACGACTGAGCCCACAGGGTGAATTAGCCTTACAGGAAGCCCAGGTACTGGGGCCTGGACATCAGGATATTTCTGGTGATGATCTGATTATGTGTCGAGTCTATATGTTCCTTGATAGGTAGGGCCTTGCTGTTTGTGAATTGTTAGGCGCCTTGAAGGGGATGTTGTCTTGCCCATACCGTATATCGAGTTCAGTGGGGCTGACAGTCCGCAAGTGGACACGAAGACATAGATGACATTCATCTGTGAGGGTTTTTAAATTTAATGTCAGGAGAATTTCATGAGCAAATTGGCAGTCTTCTTGCTCTTACAGTATATTATTAATTCAATCTTCTAGTTGAAAACTATTACATCCAACTTAGCATTATCGTTTAATACCCAGACAAAAATAGTTTAACTCGACGTATGATAACTGCATTACGCCATGAATCGACATATGGTGATAACTGAACTTTGCACATTAAGAGCAGACACTTGACTCTGTAAGCACATCTAGTAGACTACACTCATCCTTAGAGCAACATACATCGCATCCTCACATATTTGTCATAAACTCGCTCAAGAAGAGTATGTGAAATTGACAATCTAGCAACCATGATGGGGCCACACGTGGGATTACCAGACTGCCTTGCAGGCAGCAAGTTGAGACTTTTTGCCAGTAACGTTTGATCACAAGGAAGAACTCACTTGGCTTTATGATTTTACAGAATGCACCTCTATTTATTCTAGGCTGAATTAAGCTTACCTTCATTGACTCCTTCATGCTTTTAATGATCCTGCAGGGACTACTCAAACATTTTCTGCAGCACTAATACCAAAATATCATTTGTCTGATTGCCTGCCTTAATCCTTGTCTTGAGGATACAGTGAATCTTACCTAAGGGGTTAAATGAATGTAGAAATAATTTAGAAAGCCCATATAAAGGTAAAACTTCAACTTACGGTTTGTCATCCTTGTAACCAGCCACAATACACTCTAGCCAAAGAGGGTCAAATCTACTACGACGATTGTAAAGTACCCTAGTCAGCCAACAGTGTAATGCTCCAGCATTAAGTTCACGTGAGTAACCCCCACACACATCATCACGTCTGTAAATTAATAAAATACAAGTCAATATTACTATAAAATGTGCCTTGTCTTCAAATCTGTTAATTACACAATGAAGAGAAAATATTCACCAAGCAATACAACTTCTAATGAGTACCTGCTTGAGGGGGTTCTGGGAGTTCTTATACTCCCAAAGCCCGACCCAAGGCCAGGCTGACTTGAGTAGCCTGTACCTAATGTGCTTCTCTACACGAGTGCTAGATTTAAATGCATAAAATTAGCTAGCTCTAAATAGTAATAGAGCTACTATTAGTACTCTACAGTAATACATATTAAACAATTTCAAGGCCGCCTTGAGAAAAAACACACAAAAGCTTGAAACACTAAAGTATAGATCAATGGAGTTTGTTGAAATGTAGAGGCACAGGAAATTAAAAAAATACAAAATACTGTACATGTCAGAAACATTATAAAGTACATTACATTGTTCTTCCCACAATGACAAAATTAGTACAAGAGGTGCATGTTATGTGGTGTCCCAGTATTTTATCATGCACAGTCGGCACTAAGCACTTTTACTCCACGTTGCCAAGTGCACAGGTGAATTTCAGTTAAAAGCATGATAGGGAGGGAATTATCAGGGGAAAGTGCTAATCCATTACGACTATATAAGCAGCATGATGGGGAATTAACATTGATTTTTAGCTGTAAGTTTGGTAAGTTAGGCTCCCCTCACCATTTTTTTTTTTACTAAATATTTAGGTTGTATTGTCTACTCTCTCAGTAATCCGAATCATATGGAGCCCAACCTAATTTGAATTAGCCGATTTTCTTACCAGGCATGTCCAAATGAACAAACCAAACATTTTTAATACCACAATCTGGTTACTCCTGTTGATTATTCCTCCATTTCCATAACTGTATCTGGGCAAAATCCAAGAAGGGAGGGAGGAAGAGGAGAGAGAATGTCAAACATTGACCATTTGATTATGCTTATAACAGTTAAAATACAGAAATTGAACATTTACCTGGTTGATGGGGTTCTGGGAGTTCTTCTACTCCCCAAGCCCAGCCCGAGGCCAGACTTGACTTGTGAGAGTTTGGTCCACCAGGCTGTTGCTTGGAGCGGCCCTCAGGCCCACATACCCATCACAGCCCGGTTGGTCCGGCACTCCTTGAAGAAAACAATCTAGTTTCCTCTTGAAGATGTCCACGGTTGTTCCGGCAATATTTCTGATGCTCGCTGGTAGGACGTTGAACAACCGTGGACCTTTGATCTTCATACAGTGTTCTCTGATTGTGCCCATGGCACCACTGCTCTTCACTGGTTCTATTCTGCATTTTCTTCCATGTCGTTCACTCCAGTACGTTGTTATTTAACTGTGCAGATTTGGGACCTGTCCCCCCCGTATTTTCCATGTGTATATTATTTGGTATCTCTCTCGTCTCCTTTCTAGTGAGTACATTTGGAGAGCTTTGAGACAATCCCAATAATTTAGGTGCTTTATCTCGTTTATGCGTGCTGCATATGTTTTCTGTATTCCCTCTATTTCAGCAATCTCTCCTGCTCTGAAGGGGGAAGTGAGTACTGAGCAATACTCAAGATGGGACAACACAAGTGATTTGAAGAGTACAGCCATTGTGATAGGATCTCTGGACATGAAGGTTCTCGTAATCCATCCAATCATTTTTCTGGCTGAAGCAATACTTTCTTGGTTATGCTCCCTAAACATTAGGTCGTCGGACATCATTATTCCCAAATCCTCAACGTGCTGTTTTCCTACTATGGGCAGATTCGATTGTTGTTTTGTACCCTGTATTATGTTTAAAATCCTCATTTTTGCCATATCTGAGTACCTGGAATTTATCACCATTAAACATCATGTTATTTTCTGCTATCCAATGAAAAACTTTGTTAATATCTGTTTGTAGTTTATCAATGTCTTCCGCAGAGGTAATTTTCATGTTGATTTTTGAATCATCTGCATACAATGACACGAAGCTGTGACTTGTGTTTTTGTCTATATCTGATATGAGAATAAGGAACAGAAGTGGTGCAAGGACTGTACCTTGAGGTACAGAGCTTTTAACTGCTTTCGGACTCGATTTTACTTGATTGACTGTTACTCTGCGTTCTGTTCAACAGGAAATTGAGTATCCAGCGTCCTATTTTACCAGTTATACCCATTGACCTCATTTTGTGTGCAATCACTCCATGGTCACATTTGTCGAATGCCTTTGCAAAATCTGTGTATACGACATCTGCATTATGTTTTTCTTCTAATGGCTCAGTGATTTTGTCATAGTGGTCAAGTAGCTGTGAGAGGCATGATCTTCCTGCTCTAAATCCATGTTGGCCTGGATTGTGGAGGTCATTTGTTTCCATGAATCTAGTGACCTGACTCCTGATCATTCTCTCAAATACTTTTATTATGTGGGACGTTAGTGCAACTGGTCTATAATTCTTTGCCAATGCTTTGCTACCACCCTTGTGTAGAGGGGCAATATCTGCTGCTTTAAGCGCATCTGGTATCTCCCCTGTGTCCAAGCTCTTCCTCCACACTATACCGAGTTCCTGTGCTACTGGCACTTTGCATTTCTTTATAAATATTGAATTCCATGAGTCTGGACCCGGGGCCGAGTGCATGGGCATATTGTCAATTTCTCTTTCAAAATCTGCTATGCTCGTGTTGATATCAGTTAAATTTACAGGTATTTGAATATCATTCATAAAGAAATTGTCCAAATCTTCCACTTTCATGCTGTGTACTGGAGTGCTAACCATGTCCTCATACTGCTTTTTTAGGATTTCACAAATTTCTTTGTCATCCTCAGTGTATGAACCTTCACTAATATGAATAGGTCCAATACTGGCAGCGGGTTTCGCTTTTGACTTAGCCTGTGAAGGAATATTTTGTTTTTTTTCCTTATTTCTTGAATTGCTTTCTGAATTTAATTGAATTGAATTGCCTTTCTTCAGTCTGATAGGAATGCTTCAGTCTCTGTTCGATTTCTTCAATATCCCTGTTTAAATTATTTCTTCTTTGTATGGAGAGTCGTGTCTGCTTAAGCATTTCCGTTAATTTCTTCCTTCTTTTGTAATGTCGTCTGCATTCTCTTTCTACATTTGACCTCTTTCTGGCTTTCCTCAAAGGAACATGTTTCAGACAGACTTCATATGCTTCAGAAGTCAGTTTTTCTATTCCTTGTGTAGGATTTTTATTTCTTAGAACATTTTCCCATTAAATGTTTTTAGGTTCCCTGTTTATTTTCTCCCAGTCTATCCTTTTATTATTAAAATTAAATTTATTGAATAACCCTTCTCGCTTGTTATTTCTCTTTGCTTGCCTATACATATATTTATATATATGTGTGTAAATCACGAAAATAAATGAAATAAAATAAATATATGTGCCTATACATATTTATATATATGTATAGGCAAGCAAAGAGTTGATCATCATGGAGATCAATGAAACAATGATGCCAAAATACTGATAGATAAATAGAAGGATCAGAATGCCAAGGACTTTCAACTAGTGAAGTCTCACACCTGATGGTCAAAACTGTATTCGCAAACCACTTTACCTAACCTTAAAATTACTGTAAAACTCATCAAGCTACTAATAGGCAAATTCATATTTAAAATTTGATGTAAAATATACACTATTAGTCCTTCAGTACTATGTGTGCAATAACAAGTTTCTGTATTGTAAAATACAGTACAATACTATGTATATTTTAATTTACCAGTGATCAAGACATCCTGATCACCTTGAAGAAAAGATATGGAAATTGCACGAGGAAAAGGTACAGGATACAAATGAGCAAGGCATGATAAGTAACTATAAATAAAACTCAATACAGTTGTTCTAGAGAATTAATTACTGTACAGTATTTATAATTTAACAATTAATGTAGAGATAATTAAAAGCTGGATATCACACTTTTGAAGCTTTAACCACTTCCATAAACTAGTTTTCCATTTCTTGCAGATTAGTCTTGACACCAAATGAAATTTGGAATTGGTTATAATAATCCCTTTTTTACTTTAACATACAATATCAAGTAAATCTCACCAAACTCTCCATAACAAACATTATAATTCTTAGCTAGGGGTGGCTTGGCATTTATGTTTAAAGAGAATAAAAGTTAAACTGCTTTTGGTACTTACACTTTCTGTTCAATGACTTCTCTGATGAACTGATAATCAGCAATATCTCCACTACAAGCTAATGCAGCTTTATCAGTAACTTTGAACAGCCTCTTCACATCCCTGAACCTTGCTAGCGAGCCATATGAGCCAAGGGAATCGGCAACAAGCATCACTCCTCCATCATACACTAGACCTACTACTGAGGTACCAGATGTCGAAGGGTACCTGAAAAAAAATAATTTTAAGTGTAGCTCTAATATATTATGATCATTATTACATAATCAATTACCAAGACTACATAAGATTTATATGGTTAACAAAGAAATCACATTAACATGATGTATCAATGAGAAAAATCAGCAGGAGCCATGAAGAGGATTCAAACCTGTGCACAAGATACTCTCAAGCACACACCTTAAACCACTGGAAGGCGATTCGCTACAAAAGTAATGTAACCTGGAATTCAACTGATTCTTCTAGGGTTCGTGAGGCATCATCTGATACCAAATCAGGGGTTTACACATTACCCTCGTATACTCTGAGTGTGATATAGGAGTTCTACCCAATGCTCCTCTTCATTAAAAAAACCAGCGTTGAATGTAATGAAACGCCATTTTCTGGGTGAGACCCGGAGGCTCCCCGGAGCTTTACCGGCTGATATGCTAATGTCAGACTTTGGCATCAGTCATGTGTATGGAGTTCTAGGGCCTACCGGGGACCACGAGCCAGAACCTGGCCCCCTCAGAGAGGCAAGGGGAGCAATGGCCTATAGAAACCCCCGTGTGGTTGGAAGCATTCTATGTCTGCCATCGACCGGGTCAAGCATCCAGAAAGGTAAGCATTCCAAAACAAACCCCTATTCTGGTGAAAATTGCTACCTAAGCCGAACTAGTGAATAGAACTCTTCAACAGAAAACACGGAAACTAGTATGACGTCATACGTCACAGCGCCGCTGTCTGCGCAGCTCCCCCCTCCCCGGGAGGGGGAAGGGGGAGCCCCAGACCTCCCACGCCGGCTATCCACCCATCAGTTCTGAGGCTGGATGTCAAAACACGCGAAAAACGCCGACCGAAGGGAGGGAGGGTTGCCGGGGAGCCTCCGGGTCTCACCCAGAAAATGGCGTTTCATTACATTCAACGCTGGTTTTCTGGGGGGAGCCCCGTTGGCTCCCCGGAGCTAACTACCCACAGAGGAAGGTCAAAGGGACAAAACCGGGAGGCGGACACCACGCACCCCCCAAGGAGGCGAGACAACCGGCAGCAAACGCCAACCCAAGGCGCCACAGCCCCGAAAATCCCGGGAACAACACGAGAACCACGAGCAGCAAGGCCCCTGCACGAACACCAAAAATCCATGCCCGAAAGACTGCAAGGCCACGTCGCCCAGACGGCAGCGAGAGCAGCGAAGCCACGAACGCCACAGGCATGAGGGAAGAACACAGGCAGCTTAGCCGCAAGAACACGGCTGACCACCCGGGACACCATCACCCGCGAACCGGGAAGAACAGAACCGGATCAACGCAAAACGCGCTCCGGACCCAAACGCCGTGGCACGCAAACAACAGCAGAGGGCCGCCACTGAACACAAAAACGACACACCCCCGGCCCGACCAACAAAGCACCAACAAACCCTGGACCCCTCCAGAATGCAGCAGCCCCACCCCGCGCCAGAAAAGATGGAGACTGCTGCCATCAAACAACCAAAACGCTAAAACCGAAGGAGCAAGAAAACACAGCGAACCGACCCCCAGAGGCAAAGGCCCAAAGGAAAGAGCCGACGAAAAAACACACCGGAACCGAAGGGGCACTACCAACCGAGGAGAAGACAGAGCACGCTGACCAGAGATCAGGATGGTGCAAGCGGCGCACGAACAGGCCGGAGGTGAAATGACGCACAAGACAGCTGACTAACGGTGCAGAAGCAACACCAAGACCGAAAGCAAGCTGAAGCGGCTCCGCCTGCGCCGCACGAAAAGAGGCGACAGTATGTGGCAAGACGACGGCCCCCAACCCCCACTAGAAAACCAAGCCGAGAGTAAACCAAGCCAACAAGAAGGACCCACCGAAGAAGGGACAGGAAAAGGAAGGACCGCCAAAATACCCCATACTGCCGCCAAGAAAGCACGCAGGTGGGACACCTACCACGAAGCCACCCGACCACCAACCGGAGGCGAGACCACGAGGCAGAACATAAGCAGCCCCGACAAGGCCCCCCCGAGCCCAGGAAAAAGGCGGAGCCGCGAGAAGATCTCGGGCGCGACCACCGGAACCCAGGCGGCACAAGGAGATGGAACGTCTGCCGAACAGAAAAACTCCGAAGCATGCAAGCCCGCCAGGAGTTCAGAAACGACGGGTCCGACGCGAGACATCGCAAGAACCCCCCCCAAAAAATAAAACAACAACAACCGGCCGGGCAAGCTAGGAAAACCAAAGAAGGCGGAAGGGTCGCCGCCAGAACCGGACCCGAACCAAGGGGCACGAACAACTGCAACAGACTGAGACAAAGAAGCACACCACAGGACACAGGCTGACAAACGCCTAAGAACACACGCAGAACATTCCTGCTGCAGAAGAGGCAGGAAGAAAGAGCAGAAGCACAAAAAAAAAAACCAGGAGAACAACCAGGGGTGGACAATCAGGCAGGGACAAAAACCCCACGCAATCCCCAGGCACAAAACGGCAGCAAAGCGCCACTCCACAACCGGACACAGGAACAAGGACACGCCACCGTGAAACACGGTACCAATGCTCACGTGCAGCAGCAGCAGCAACAGGCACCACTGCAACATGCAACATGTAAATAGCAACTCCCCTCTGCAAAGGCAGAGAACGGAGCAGGCAGACCCCAGACAGGGCCAACGGAGACACGACAAAACCCTGCAGGCCCAGAAACCTGCACCAGGCGACCGACGGCGGAGAAACCCCGCTCGATACCTGCTGGATGAGGTACTGGGAGCTCTTTTACACCTCAAGCCCGGCCCAAGGTCAGGCCAGACCGGCCAGAGGATGGCCCACCAGGCAGCTGCTAGGAGCAGTCCACCGGCCCACATACCCCCACAACCAGGACGGGCCGGAACTGCCATACGAAAACAGGCCAGTGCGCCCTGGAAGTCCACGGACGAACCAGCAAGAAGGCTTATGCTCGCAAGTAGGTCGTGTAACAAGCACAGACCACTGATGGTAATACAGTGTTCCCCAAAAGTGCCAATAGCACCACTGCACTCCACTGGTACTATCCCGCAAGTTCTACCAGATAGGCGGGACCCAAGAGCCAGAGCTCAAATCCTGCAAGCACAGCCAGGAGCCTCACCAGGTGAGTACAGAACCAACCCTACAACCCCCACACCTCACAACATTAAAAAAGGAGGGTCCCCTGAACGACTCCAGCATGGGTTGGACATGCACATGAGAGGGACAGGAAGGGGTGATAAAGGGACAGTCACTGGTGTGCGAACGGTCTCAGTCGTACAAAATTATACCTAAATAAAGACAGGTATATGAACACCGCCGCATCCAGCGCCCGGCCAAAAGACGCCAGACCGCAGAAACTCACCTGGCGAATGGTGGCTCGAACTTGACACGACTCAACCGTGCCCAGAAGAACTTGGGAGCACCGCCAGGTGAAGACGCCAGAGCCGGACCCGCCGGAGAACAGGGAGAGGCGAAGGAGGCGGTCCACACCCATGACACAGAAAACCGCGGTGTCCTCCCCACAACTGGGAACCAGGACACCCCTGGCGCAAAGGGGCACATACCGCAGCCAGGGAGAAGAACGAGAGGCGAAGCACTGTAGCAAAAAAGGGCGCAAAACCCCAGCACTGAACCATCGCCCAGACCAAAACAAACTCCACGGCGCATGCGCATAACACGCTGGCCGAACCGCACACCCTCCCTGCGGGAAGGCGCCAGCCAGGACTATTGCACGAGAAAAAGAGCCAAAAGAGGAAGCAGGAACAATAAAACCGGCCAAAGAAGCAAAGAGCCCAAAAAAAGGAACCCAAACGGGCGACAAGTAGCCCAAACGGGCGACAAGTAGCCCAAACGGCCGACAAATAGCCCAACCGGGCGACAAGTAGCCCAACCGGGCGACAAGTAGCCCAACCGGGCGACAAGTAGCCCAACAGGGCGACAAGTAGCCCAACAGGGCGACAAGTAGCCCAACAGGGCGACAAGTAGCCCAACAGGGCGACAAGTACTAGGAGCCGACAGACGTTCCAATAATGCGGGAAGTAGCGAAAAACCTTCCCGTACCCTCGAGAACACAGAAGCCAACACTAGTCCCGAAGGCACACGAAGGCGCAGGCGCACCCGAGATCAAAAGTCACGCAGAACCCCATCGAACGGGGAAACATGACAAAAACACCGTCCCAAAAAGCGGGGGAGGAAACATCCACCCACAGGACGGAACCAACCGACTCAAAGGCCAAGGAACCGAGCCCGGGGAGGGGCCGACGTCCAACAGCACGTACGGCGAGTGGGGAGGAAAGACCCCACTCCGCGTAACCACAAGCCCCGCCTAGAGGGGGATAAAACCCCCCACGGGGTCTAACGGGGCCAAGGCCCCCCCAAGTCAGCCCCTCCCCAGCCCCGGGAACCTACACGACAGGCCCCGGGGCCGAGCCGTTCCCCCAAAGCCCCGGCCGTACCAGAAAACCGGGGCAGCCGTGAAAACACTAAGGAAGGGAGCCCACTGGCAGACTCATACAACACGGCTGGAGGAACAGGCCCAAATGCCCCCGTCACTACCCCGGAAGGGGAATTCCCCGAGACTGCCCGAGTCTCAACACCACCAAACACCCCGCCCTGAACCTACAGACGGTAAGGAACCGGATACAGGCAGGAAGGGTGAACCAGGGAAAGACAAGGGGGCGTGGATGGAACCGAAGCAACCAACACCCCCAAGTCCCAAAACGAAATACAACGGGGCAGCCCCGGGGCTCCCGGGGAGGAAACCACGAGAACGTTGCCACCACCAAGGCTCAAGTGCAACGCCCCTGCTGCCCGCACCCGCTTTGTTAGCACAACTGGGTAACCGAGCCACAACGAGCAACCAAACTCGCAGGACACCGGGTCGAAGGTGTCACCGACCCCACAGGCAGCAGACGGAGGCAAAACAGAGAGTCACCCAGAGACAAAAGGTGAGAGCAACCCTCAAACTCGCTGGAAGCGAGGGGGGAGCTCTGGGGTCACATCCATCGGACCCACGCGCCCCCAGGGGTTTCCCA